AATGCCCGAAAGGAATATCTCCCGGGAGATCTGCAATAGATTTGTTGGCAAGACTCGAAGCCAGATCTGATGCTGTATTGTAAGCGCTGCTGAGATTGGATTGCTCTTCGCTCAAATATGAAACTTCGTCTGTGGTCTTGGATAGTTCAGAGTATTGCGTTTTTGGCTTTTGCCGCCGCGAACCCCTGCTCTTGGTAGGTGTGTCGAGCACAGAACCACGGCCCTCAGTGGCTTCGTATTTACCGATTTCATCGTGGGGATGCTGACTCCCAGTTTGCTGCGAGCGATCAGATTGGTCTTGTGTGACGTCGGTTCGACCTGATGGCGAACTTGGGCGGCCGGAACCAGACGTTGTCTTGCTTCTTGACCGCGATATAGTTTTGACTCCTCCGCGAGTAGCGCTGGATCGAAATGTCTCGCTTATTGGTCGTATTCTGATGCCGTCGTCATGAACAGTAGTAGCCGCATTTGGAGACTCGGTACGGGCTCCATCATCATCCAACTTTTTTGGTCTCATGGGTTTGATGCGAATGCCGTCATCATTTCTCGATTTGTGGTTATGAACCCATCTTGCCGTAATGTCACTGGCGGAATCTCCGGCCTCGCTCCTGGCTCCCTCAGATCGAGCGCTCCTATCCCTTGATTTGGACGACCTGTGGCTTCTTGGCGGTGGTGGCGAATCAGGAACATCTATTTTGGCAGCCCATTCTTTTATCTTATTTGATACCAATGGGTTTCCTCCAGACCGCTGAACAAAATCTTTTGGGAGCCCGCTAGGGCTCGGCGACGGCTTCTTGGTTGAGGGAGAAGCCCTCCGCCTGGGAGGGCTTCTGCGGGTTTTTGGCTTCCTCCAGTGTTCGTCACTGACAACCCTCTTCTTCGGGGGGGAAGTAGGTTGTATATCGTCAGTCTCGGTCTGGTCGGTGCTCGAAGTAGGCGTTTGACCGTTTAAGAATGCTGGCGTCGGCTTTGGTTTTGATGCGCTTCTCTTTTTCTGCCTGAACTTGATTCGTATCCGATCGGATTCGGTCACGCTTTCCTCGTCTTCCCCCTTGAATGCAACATCTGTAGGCTCTGTTGCTGCATCGTCTGGGTCTCCCTCGGCGAGGGATGCAGCATTGGCCTTTTGCCATTTTTGAACCCTCTCTCTTACGCCGCCAGGTTGCTGAAGTTTCTGTACGGAGCTTTGTCTCATACCCTGACGTAGTTCAGCCTTGACGGCTTCGATACTCTCTCGTCGTTTACGATCTGCTGCTAGGCGAGCTGGAGATTGTTTACCACGTAGGAAATCTGTCAACAATGTGGGTTCTTTTTTGGAGTTCGCCCTGGGTCGGGTTTTTATTACGACAACCGGAGGAGTAGAGTCAGTTCTCGCTTCTGGGCTCGATTCATCATTCGTCGGCGTTTCTGCAGTTGCATTGGTGTTTGGCCTGCTGGCCTTGGAAGGAGTGGTGGGAACCTGCGACACATCGTCGTCGTCGGGAGGTGTAGATGGTGGCATGATGGTTTAATCTAGCCGAGCTTCGTCAGCGCAGGTTTGCAGTCAATCAGAAGGCGACTGCCTTGGTTGGGTCTGCGTGCGCAATAGGCTGCATCTCGTGTTGCCAGACTTTGGGTCGCGACTTTATGCGTCGGTGAAGCCCAAACTGGAGCAAAGCTGCAACAACAAAACAGGAGGCGCATCGAGCTCAGGAAACATACCTGTAACGAGCACCATGCCTGCTGCAAAAGGCCGATGGCAAAAGAGGAAAAAAAAAATTCAATTGTACTGCCGCGTCAGCATATCAGCCGTGCGATTGCCCACGAAGCTTGCGATCGAATTGCCGTTCGTAGTCGCTCGCTCACTTGTTTATCGCGGGCTCTGGCTTCGGGTACAACGCAGAGTGGCTGGGCGACGTCACAACTGGGGCAGGAGCGACTTGCTGGTCTTGCCACGCAAAACACCACGCCGACCAGTTTCCAAGATGCTCAAGACAGAGTTCAAGCAAGATCTGTTTCTCTCTGCTTCCGCAAAGGACAATATGCTGCTGATCAGCACCACAAAAACGAAAAATAGATCAGCTTGTGTGACAGGTCTCCTCAACCGACTGTCAAAACAAAGAAGTGCATCCAGAGTATTACTGACACAAAGAGTAAACTGGAGAAGTTGGCAACATGGCCTTGCACTTGAGCTGCGACCCCCATCTGCCTCTGCCTTGGTCTGCGTTGGATCTGGATGCCGCAGTAACCACTGGGGTCCGCTAGCTAGCGCCGGTGGATTTCACCAAGGACCAGCCAAAGGTAAAGTCAGACGGACTGTACCCATGTCTCTGAGACCTCATGCCCATGTTCATCCATGTGTGGCCAGCTTCCAATGCGTGCGCTGCCGCATGTAAACAATACGATCCTCAGCCGACTGCATATGGACTACGCTGACCAGACTCCTCAGTAGGATCCGCCGCTTCTCGTCGACGACCCGACCAAACTACCACGCCGCCTACCTTGACCTCCAGCAGCACTTCCATCTAAGATAACTTGCAGCCGTGGTGGGACCAGCCCATGTACAATACAAAATACGTCTGTACGGAGTACATAACAAGCATCGGCTTCTGGGCTTCGATGACAAGATCAACAAAGGAAGCGTTCAACGCTGCCTGAAACAGCTCCAGCCTATCATATCCGTGGGATTGGCCAGCTCCAAATGACTTCGACATCGTGCTCCCATCAGAGTCATTGCAATACTACTACATACACCACGTTGTACAACAAATGTACATATGTATGTAGTATGTACATGGAATAAGCCCTGCCTTTTAAAACCCTGTCCCGGGTGCAAGCGCACAGGAGCACAATCCCTGCTCGGAGCCTTTTGCCTTTGCATAATAACTGAGGCTTTATTGAGGTTTGCTAGTGGCTCGTGGTAGAGTTTGACGCCATCCCATTCCCAGCCGGATGGCACAGCACAGCTTCACAGGGATATCGCATGTCAAGAATTAACAGAGGGCGACCCAGTTGGGCCGGCACGTCATACGTCTAAGATTCAAAGTATCAGCGTCATGCGATATCCCGCAGTCAAAACATAAACAAAACAGCCAAGTACTAACTTACTACCATGCTGCCGGTGGCATACAAAGCAAGCAGTCTTGGATGGAATATGAGGCATTAGAATGAAATCTAGGAGCAGTTCTTAGCCGCGAAGCCATTTCGCAATATCGTCGCAATTGTTGGAACTCAATGGAACTTGACCTAGCTGGCTTGACAAAGGAGACCACTCTTGCTATGACCAAGCATCTTCTGCTGCCAACGTTGTAGGAGACAGCGCCTTGATTGGAAGTTGATGATGCTTGCCACCCAAATTTGGTGCCTTTGGGCACTCGAGAAAAATTGGCTCCTCAGTATTTTCTGAAGCCCACCCCGTGGACGAGGCAGTGGCCAAGAGCAGTCAATTCCAGGAGCTATAAGCGAATACTCCGTACCCCGAGCTCTGAAAGACATTCGATCGGGGTAGGAGTCAGCCATTCAGAAGTTCACAGAGTGCATCTTGTCTCACAATATGGGCCGCCGCCGCACATGCGCCGTCTACGAAGAGCACCACCTCAGAGTCTAATGGTGTAGCACCAAAATGGTCACAAGGTGTCATCCACCGACCTCCATGTCTCCCCCGAGGCTTCGTCCATGTTGATAACCCACAGACGTGGTTCGGCCCACGGAGATGGCGCACTCATTTGTTCGCCGAATGAGGTGTCGGGTTTGGTGAGGCTTGATCCCATGCCTGCTCACGGAGCCCCGTCAAGGGCGGGCAAACCACAGTCTCATGTGTTGAGAGACACCACGAATAGACGCGTATTGCAGAATTGACGGAACTTGTCACAGCTATTGGTTCGGCGCAGGCGAGCAATCACTTGGGTGGTGAATGCTTTGCGTTTTGGTTTTCAGCCCTGTCAACATGACATTTGATCTGTTTGCTGCATTGCAGTTTGAATGCATTCAGGACGGGCTGAGCTGAACTTCCACATTCCTTGAATGGAGCGCCTCTTTTGGCATACGAGCTGGCTCCAATATTATTGTTCATCACATGAGGCTAGTTCTCCCGCAGCGCGGCGCCGCTCCCATTAAGTTTGGCCTTGATTGTTGGACGACCCGGACCGTCCGCGCTCTGGCGTAAACAAGATTGCCGTCCGGATTGTTGGATGCCACTCACGCACTTTCCCATGTCGCTCCCCATGGTTGTCACGGCTTCTTGGAGGGAACCGCCATGACGAATCCACAACAGCCACCACCTTGTGTACATGTACGGGAGAAGAAGAAGACCTGGTGCCACTCACACCAGAGATAGCCCGCCCCACAAATACTGTGCATAGCGATTAATAGATCATCTTCAACGCCATATTTCCACATACCGGACTACTACTACAACGCATGTCTAAATGCTGATGCCCGGTCAGATGGGAGCGAGACCGGCCGCGCACTCGTCTCTCGGATAGCCGACCTAAGGAGGGGATGGGCATATGCTTTCCATGGTACGCAAGCTACCTACCTAGGTAGGTAGTTAACCGGTTAAAACGCCGCGCTCGCCGTTGGATCCGATGGAATGGCTCCTCAGTGCTCACGCTTAAACGGATAGCAAGGTCACTTGGAGTAGAGGACCGGACGAGTGGAGTTTGATACGATTTCTGTTGCCTAGCTATCATGGGGCAAGGGGGGAGAAGAAGAACAACTAAAGTATGAAGCAGGTGCCAGACCATGCGAGAAAGCACAAAGAGCCACCAAGGAAAAGACAAGAGCCTCCAGGAAACGCCGAGGACACCGACTATGCAAGCTGCTGCTAGCTACTAGACCAGAATTACGTGTCGTCTCCTTCCATGCCCACCACCAAATGCAAACATGATGACCCTAAAGTCAGAACGATGAGCGCCACTAATGCAATAATAATAAGCGGAAATCAGAGCGTATAAAAACGTCCACCAGCGCCATCATGATCCATGCAGCAAATGACAAAAAGAAAGCTGTGTGCAAATGAATCAAGCAATTTGCTCCCTAGGAGGGAGCAGAAAGCGAACCTTCTTCTTGGGCTTTGCAGCCTCCCCCTGTACAAGCTGATTATTCCGTGCGAGAGCGGGCGTCGTAGTTGACGGCCGATCCATGATGAGGTCCTCGGCAGTTTCTTCCTCAATGGACCACACATCCGGGCTGGGTTCACGCCAGAGCCGTCGTGCCCGGGGAGGCAGTCTACTTCCAGCCGAGTAGCTCCGGGTAAGCGCCTGACGAGGCCTGCCACGCGGCGGCGATGATGGAGCCGGGAAAGAAGCCGCGGGGGGCAAGAAGCCGTTGGGCCGCCCGAACGGCGGGCTCTTGGAGCGAAGTTTGAAGTTTTCGACGGACAGGCCTCTGAACGGCGTCAGGAACGAGGAGCTGGGAGGCGAGAAACGGATGTAGTCCTCCTCGTCGGCCTCGTCGTCTGTAGTCACGCCGTCGGAATCAAAGTCTGGCGAGGCGCTTTTGGCCCGGAGCTTGGAGAGCCCGTCGAGTGTTGAGGGGCTCACGGAACGAACAAACTCGGGTGGATTGTTGGAGTCCTCGATGCCGGCGTCAAAGAGCATGTCGTCGGCGCCATAGTCGTCCATGTAGTCGTCGTTGTCCGCAGGTGTGAGGAAGTAGGTGAGCGGGTTCTCGTCGATGTCTTCAAGAAGGGGACGAGGCTCGCTCTGTTTTGGTGGCGAGCGGGCAAGGCGCACCTGTGTAGGTGGCCAAGAGTCTCGGCGAGACCAAATGTCTGAAGAGGACATGGTGAATTTTGTCTTGTTTTTTTTCCTGCTCTTTGAAATACTTTGATGGAAACCCCGGTAGAGGTCCTATTACTTGACAGAATGAAGAGTGAAAAGGAAGCGAAAGAAGCGACTGGAAGAACTAAATCGACTGGGAGAGTCTGGCCGGCCGAACCGGCAACAGTGATTCTCAGTAGGGCGGAATGGATCCGAACTGAGGAAGCTGCCTTGTATAAAGAAGCCTGAAGGGAAGAATAACATGGCTAGATACGAGTCAACGGGGAGAACGAAGACATATATACACACTCGAGATGCCTTGCCAGCCTCACCGGGGCGCAGGCAGACAAGAAGAGACTGGAAATAGGCAGGATGGAAAGAAAGACATGAGCGCCGCCCCCTCCTTTCAACCGGGATTGGCGCCTTGCGTAGGACTCTCACACACACCATTCGGTGGCTAGGCGATAGTAGTTCTACTAGCTCAGTCACATCTCGACGAGACTGTGGACACGGATGGCCTTGTGAGGCGGAAGCCGGGGTGGTCAGGACTCGGGGGGAGAGAGTGTGGGTGAATCAGTCGGCGCACGTGAAGCAGCGAAAGGGAAAAACAGGATGGTTGGACCTGTTCTTCACGGGACGGAGACGAGGCTACGGAGGCCACTACGGATGGCGGCATGTAGTAGTATGTGTGGTGGCCGTGACTGCATTCCACCTCGGATGGGTGAGAGCATCATGGCCCATGGGAGATAGCTGGGTAGCAATGGGCCAAGGGCAGCCATCTGGTGGTGGAGTCACGGTGACGCTTTGCGTGGGCGGCGACGAGGACAAAAGCAGAGGCAGCAGTCCTGTGCTGAGCGGGATGCAGGTCCGGACGATGCAGGCTGCGAGGCTGAAGACTGTGAACAGAACAGGCAGCCGAGCTGTCTGGTGCGCGATGATGGATGAAGTACGGAGTCCTGTCCAGTGTCTGGTGCGTACTCCGTACTTGGAAACATTGAAGGGACCAGCCAGTTGACATCAGCTTCGCAGGGATCAATCAAGATGCGGCGTCCGCAGCGGGAACGGAGTGGGTGTGCCCGCCCGCCACCACCAGGTCCACGACCAGGCGGGACCCCATGCCAGAGTGTGGAGGCAGCGTCAACTGGACATAACCACCTCGGGGCCAGACTATTATAGCAGCGCTTGGCAAGCATTCACGGGCCGGCGCTAGTTGACGATGAAGACAAGCGATTAGAAAAGGCCGCCCGTCCAGGCCATCCGTGGTATTGATGCCACAAGCCGCCAAAACGCCCCATTGGCCCGGCCATCTGACTGCCACCCCGTGGCCAGTTTTCCAACCTGCATGACCAACATTGAAGAGCCGCTGCCCTTGCAGCCGGGACATGCGCAGCAGGTCCGCACCCGCCAAATACGACAAGAGGTCATGCCGGGGGCTTTTCAAATCCCATTGTGCTTCGTCTTTCCGCATGGCAGGCATGCGGGATCGGGAAAGCGTATGCTGAATCGGGATCCTTGAATGGCGGCACTTGTCGGCCACGCTGCCGGGTCCACGTATGCAAGCCAAGGACGGAATATCAGATTATCAGACACCGCAGCTCGCTGTGTCTTGGCCGGAAGCCATAAGACTATTGTATTCTTTTATTCCATGTACCAGAGGCGCGTTGAATGCCTCGTTGACGGCGTCCGGCGTCCTGCCTCTCGATAATTCCTCTTGGCGCACATGGCTTTCTAAGCACATGTACATGCTCGTCCCAACTTCCTACGATTGATAACCAGAAACACTGGCCGCGTCATACACTGGGAGGAGGGAAGGGTCGAGGGCAAATCCAGAATGGTAAATGTCGACGGCCTGCGTGTACTTCCCTCAAGAGTCTGGTGTAAGTTGATATGCAAAACAAACACGTTGGGCAAAGGGAAACTAGCAACAAGTGTCCCAAAAATGGCCGTTTCTACAAATAGGCCCGGGACTAACAAGGTTGCTCATTGCGCTTTGTAGCCTGTTAGGCACCGCTTGATGCTGGTGGCTGTTGGCCTGCACTTCAATGTTGCCAGCGATACGAGATGGCCTATCAGACAATTTTTGACGGCCCGTGATGACTCAGGGCCGGTGAAGTGCGACTTGTTATTGAGGTTTTGTACATGGGTTCAAGTGCGTATCTGGGGAGTTGGCGTTGCAAACTATAGTATAATAATCCATCAACTATAACCTTTTCTCCCCTGATATACGTTGCAAGTATGCACGCACTGCGTTTGTGGTACGTAGAACAAGAGCCTCTGGGTTTTCAAGCCATGATACCTAAGCCAGTAGTGGCCTGTACATGTGATTGTTATATATTCGTGTAGCTTAATACGTCTATTTATAGTGAATGCTAGCGGGTATACTTGGGTCTTGGGATTTCGATCCCCAAGACCCGTGACGGTCTCGAGTCTGCTCTAGGACGGACCAAGGCGAGGCAAGCGCGCATTCAGCCACTGCTCGACACACACCAGACTCTCTGTGCGCAGGCTTCAGCACAAAATCGGCCGTCAACGAAGCTTGGAGAACCATGGCAGCAGATTCCCCCACACCTCCCTCCCGCCGGCAAATACAACCCCGACGCCTTGGCACTCGTCACTCGCCACAACCCCCGTACGTGATGGATCATGCCGTCACAATGGGGGGCAACGCTGGCGACGAGCGAAAAGGGCCGGTGCATGAACCTGTCTCGGGGCACGCGTGAGGGCCAGTCTGTTCAGCAGGGGTGGTGTCGTGCGTTGAGTGTCCTCGGGAGGCTGAGAGCTTGTCACGCATTCCTGAACGGGGCCATGTAGTACTAATGACGACGCTCATTTTTTTCTTCGTCTGCGCAAGACGTGTTTCTTTTGATAAAATAAAGAAAGGAAGAGGGGAAAAAAGCGCACGCGTACAGTGGTACGTATTTCTCTCATCAGCATGCCCGCCAATAGGGAACTATGATGCTTGACTTGATACCACTTGTGCGACGCCGTTACCAAACCAGTGAGTGAACTTGTGCCCTTGCCGCGAGACAGAAGAACAAGAGTGGAAATAGGCGGAAACGCTCGAAATGTATGTACGTACCAGAGGGAACCATATCCCCGGTACATTAACCTGGTGCGCATCTGTGGCCGGCGGGACGGTTGCCGTGTTTGGTTCTTCCTTCTTTTGGGCCATCATACCGAGGGGCATTGGTGTTGAGGACATGACGAGAGGATGAACCTGGACTTGGGATATTGGCATATTTTAAAACACGACGCCCATGTAAATTGACAGCTGTTCCCCATCTTTGTCATCGTCTGCTTGTTCAAGTTTGCGCATGTAGGTTTGCTCCAACGTGGCCCTCGGCAGCCGCTCACGCTGAATGTTTCCTTGGATGCGACAACTCCATCATGCTGGATCCCCATCATATGCCGTCATGGCTGATCGGGACCGTCCGCCAGCCGATAGAATGGCTGGTCGGTACGGATGGCGCCGCCCTTCATCGCCAAGAATTGTTGCCCAAGCTGACCACCAGCGATCCTTGGCCGCGTCCCATCCGCATGTCGAGGGCAGCACGCACCAACGATTTGTGTCGGGAGTTCTGGAAAAATGATGATTCCGCCCTACCTGGGCCCAAGGACTGCAATTCTCAACTGCCGCTCTTGGCCCGTCCAAGCATTCAACGAGACAAATGCGTAACACGAGAACCGGTTGTGGAGAGTCTTCTCGGGATGAAACGGATAACCCATCAGACCCGACCCGTCCAGTCCTTAAATACGGAGCCCGGCGCCTTCTTCGCCTTGCGCGGCCGACTTTGCCATCGCCGGAACCACCTTTCGCATGTTTCCCATGTGATGACAGTAGGGTGGGAGGCCATTGCAGCCCAGACACGTCCAAAAAAGTCAACTGGTACACTGAACCGCCGACCTGAGTGAAACCGCCCTACGGCGTACACATGTACCCGGTACCGCAATTGTACGTCGACCCCTCATAAGCCTGGTGCTGCGGCTCCTCGCTCCGGTCCATGAGGACAACTGGCTTGGCCGCACAACGACGCGAAGCTCGCTCATCTAGCCAGTTCCAACTCAGCATCGTCTCGTGCTTCCTTGCCTGCCTGCTCTTATCCTGGTGCAGTAGCCACTTTTTCTCCGGCAACCACGTATTATTACATCGTCGCCCACATTTCGGCCCCTCTGGATCATCTACGTCGCACCACGAGGCCAAGGACGACATGGCTGAATCTCACAACTCCCAACACCAACAACAACAACAGCAACACCTTCGGCCGCAAAACCAGCAGGCCGTCTCTCCCGGGTCGTCGCTCAAGATGGACATCCGGACCAAGCATGCGACCATGCCCGTGCGGCTCGTCAGCTTCAATATTCGGTATGCCGCCAACGAGGATGAGCGCTCGTTGGCTGAGCAGCCCTGGAACGTGCGCTGTCCCAAGGTGTGCTCCCAGATGCGCTTCATCACTGCCGGCCACGAGAGCCCGTTCGTCTGTCTCCAGGAGAGTTTGTCTTCGCAGCTCAACGACATCCAGGCCGAACTCGGCGAGCCCTGGGCGCATATTGGTCGTGGGCGGGGAGAGGGGGAGGCGGACGGGGAGTTCTCGCCCGTCTTCTACCGGTCCGATGCCTGGGCCTGCGAGGTCAGCGAGACGCGATGGCTCAGCAAGACCCCCGAGAAGCCTTCCCGGGGTTGGGACGCGGCCCTCAACAGAATCGTCACCATTGGACTGTTCTCCCACAGGGCCAACGGTACAAAGGTTGTCGTCATGAGCACCCACTTTGACCATATTGGCGTCGAGGCTCGCAAGAATAGCGCCAAGCTTCTCATCAAGTTTGCCAACGAATGGAGTCACGGCAAAGGCGTGCCGCCATCCGTCGTTCTCATCGGTGGCGATTTCAACAGCGAGACCGATGATGAAGCATACCGGATGATGACGGCACCTGGCTCCGGCATGTCAGACATTTCTGATCTTGTCCCCGAGCGCAGGCATTACGGAAATCACCTCACCTATACGAGCTTCGGAGAACCAAACGAA